CCGCCCCCAGCCGTTAATTCTCGGCGCCGCGGAGCCTGTGCCGATTGAACTCGATCCCGGCTGTCATTTTGTAATAAGTTAATTCTTCATCAAGAGCACAGCGCCGCTCCTCCCCCCGAGCGCTGGGAAAGCCGGCGCTAGTCTGGCACGGCTGTCATTAGCCCGGGCTGACCCGGGGTTAAAGTCTAACTCTGGAGGTATTTTATGAGCTGCTGTGCCAGCCAGCTGCGAGGAGGAGGCGCCGTGGGAGCTGCGGGGGCACGGCCAGGGCCGGAGGAGCTCAGAGCAGCTCAGAGCAGCTCCGAGCTGGGGGTGCTGCCAGCGGCTCCTGCCCAGCCACCCCCTGCATTCCCCGCAGGCGGCTCTGGGGGACCCGCTCTGCTCACAGTTTCATGTCCTTTCTGGATAAACACGTAGAAATACAACTTTCTGGCAAAAATGACATCCTCTTCTATGCTTTTTCTTGCAGCAGATTTTCGTTTTCTGCCTCCCAAGCTTCCAGAGCAGCAGTCACTTTTGTAGGAATTGCGTTTTCGCTGTTAATTGAATTCTAAGAGCAATGTTTGTAACCTTTTTTTTCTTTTTGAAGAGGGCTATAGAGGGTGGAAGAGAGCAGGGGCAGCTCAATGCACTTAGAGCAACTTCCTTAAAAAATATTCTGTTTATTAGTATTCTGCTGGCACAGCGTGGACATAAAGCATTCCTGGTATTTTCCCTTATTGATGGATAGTGCTAGTGGGCAGGTTTAAATCTGTACCTGCAGCAGTTTAGATGGGCCAGAATGAAATGAGGGCATGTTTATTCAGGTTAACATTTTTCAGATGCTTGTGGATGTGGGGGGATGATGGATCTCCAAAGACATCATCTCTCCTCCTCAGYGTCTGATCCGCCTAACCTTGTGTACAGCACGTGGTCACAAGTTTTCTCACACCTCTGCAGGGTGGAAACAACCCGACAGGGATGGATAGCATCTTTCTAGGGATGCTGAGTTTTCCCTGCTTTTCACACATACCCATCACTCTCGGATTCATACATAATTTTACTCCGAGCTGACAAGGTTACATGCGCTCTCTATTAAGCAACATATGTTGTACTCGGTTCTCCAGAAAGGGCGATTTTAATACTCTGCCAGTAGGAATGCATTGTGCAATGATGCATACACCAGCTGGCTTCTTTTCCTTCCAAAGTTATTTAAACACTGAACCCTGCATAAAAGACAGATGTTGAAAATAGACTCCCACTAACCCGAGGTTGATGGTGAGGCTCCCATGCTCTGATGGAGTAGATGTTTCTCTTCCAGTTTGAAAAGATGAATATGTTTTTTTTGTGGGCAGGGTAAAATGAAGGGATGATCTTTATTCACTTAGTGATCTTATACTTCTTTTGAGTTACTGAGACTACCTTTGCTTTTCTTGTCAAATGGTTGTGGGGTTTTTAACTGATGTACCTCAGATGTCCATTTTCAGTCTTTGCTCAAAAATTTTAATGCAGCTGTTAGAGCTTCAGTTGGAGACCAACTGTGGAGCTATGCTAGTCTGGGAACAGATAATTTTGCTGTTTCCTTTTCCATTTTCTGTATATTTCCCTGAAATTAATTCTTCTCTTTCTTCTGTCATTGCCACATCGCTGTAAACAAGAATTAATATAATTAACCCAAGCTTGCAGTATTGTTAGAGATATTTAAAGAAACACGCCCAAGATGGGCAAACTGCCTGTGTTGAAGGCTAAGAAAGCTCTTCTGTTACGGCATTTAATTGGTTATAAGTAATACAGTGAAATGCTACATGGTGTGAAACCAAAGGGCATCATGGGAATGCTGTGCAAATCCTCTTTCCTTTCTTGATTTCAAGCTGGATAATTATTTCTATATCAGTTCTTTATTAAGCCSTAGGCTAGGATTCAGCTCTCCAAAATGGAGCCATGGATAGCTGAGCTTATYGTGTGTGAAATGTGTTTTTTCTCCTGAAGCAGTCACCAAACCACAGTGCGGTGCCCAGCGAGTGTGGGGTGAATTGCTGTCACCCAGCTCCCTGCTGCCAAATACAGAGACACTCCTATTGCACATCCTTGGGATGCAGGATGAATTCCCAGCAAGGATTGGTTGGCAGTGTCTCTGGAAACGTGGGTTTTCTTTTCCTGTGGGTCAGCCAGTGCCCCATGTGGATACAGCAGTGGCTGTGGCTGTGCAGACCATCTCAGAGTCCCTTTGGTGGCATTTACAACCATGTCACCCTCCCAGCAACAGGAAAAGCTAAAATCCTGATGCTTTGCATCCCTCTAAAGCTTTCTTTGTTTTACAGCAGGAGGAATGTTGACAAACATGGGCAGACACGGGTGATCACCGTGCCTGGGCAGAGTTGTCATCAAGAATAACTCCGAGCCAGGGAGCTCCTGATCAGTCGTACAGAGGGGTTCTTCCATGACCCCATTAATAAAGGGTTTTGGTTTCATCTCTTGCAGTCTCTGTGGCTCAGATCTCACTTAGAGGAGCTGCACAAAGCTGACACTCCCTTAAACCAAATTARGAAGCCCCTCCAAATCAGCAGCAGCATCTCCCGGCCCGTGGGACCGGGCGTGCTTTCCCCGCGCAGCCCCGGGATGTGAGAGGCAGCTCGGCTGAATCGCTGTCTTATTGAATGCTCTTCCTTGCTAATTTGTTATTAAATGACRGTTAGTGTTTCATTAGAGCCCCGGTGGGCATGGGTTCATTAGCGTTGGATTGTTGGAGCTGCGCTGCGGAGCATGGGAAGCGCATCCCAGAGAGCCGCTGGGCTCGTTGGGCTGATTGCTCTAATGAGCTCTGGATGGGGTGGGACGGGCAGCAGCTCTCTAAGCACATGGCTCAGGCTTCCAAAGGAGCTTGGCTCTCGAGTCAGTGTCAGGATAAAGGCCTGGATTTGTGGAAGGGCTTAACAAATCTGTCTGGTTGGTCCCTTTGAGAATTTGACTTCTTTGCTTCCATTGGTTCTGGCTGGAGTTTTGCTGTGACCCATCGGCGCAAGGGGGCTTTGGCTTCAGCGTGGCAGAGGCACAGCAGCTCTTCTCGCAGCATTCCCCTCTGCCATTCTCTCTGAGCAGAATCTCTTGGCTGCAGCCACGGATTGTGGAAGCTTCTCTGAAGAGCTCTGCATGATTCTGTCCCTGAAATGTGCCCGGGCTCGGGAGCATCTTTGCTGAAACCTCCTGGCCTGTCTGCATTGCTGTCCTGGGGCTGTTACTCACCCAAAAAACAGCCTAAAAATAGTCTGTCTTGCCCTGAGATATTTTTCTCTCTTCCATGGCYGCATTAGTTAGCATTTGGGGTTAGCTCAGAATAGAAACCCATAGCACCAGGAGCTCGGAAATTCAGCTGGATGTGTAWAATCAATGATCGTTAGAACCAATAAATCAGGCTGCAGCACCCCAAGGTGTCATGGAGTCACCCTGGATGCTGCAGAGAGTGTCCAGCTCAGCCTGCAGCTCCTGGAAAAATCACATGCAGAGCCTAAGAAGGGACTGGGCTAATTATTCCAAGGTAGTCAGGCCAAAKCTCACCTCTTCAGGGCTAAATCGAGACATTCCTGTTAGGTACCAGGCACTGGTCTAATGTCTTGGCAAAGCACAAAGAAAGAGCTCTTGAATGCAGTTTCACCTCTGCTGGTAACGATGAGGAAGAGGAATATGATGGGGATTGAAAACCCTCAGCAGTGGGTTCTTTGGTGAGGCACTCTGGTGAGACCCTTCTCCATGAGGAATAAGCCATGAAGCAGCATGTGGGTGTGTGCTGGGGGGCTTTGAGGCTGAACAAAGCCATGGTGGGAGCCTGAGCTCTGCAGGAGTGGGTCTGTGCACAGAGGAAGGCAGAGCTGCATTCCCCACTCTGTTTTCTGAGCYGTCCAAATCCYCCATCCCCTTGGGCGACTTTAAAAWGGCTTTGAGGAATTGTGCTTTCAGGTCCTTTATCATTTGATCACAGGTCAGGGCCAGCAGCTTTTCCTGCCTGCTGGCTCTGGCTGCCAGAGTTAATACATCACGCCGTGCTGCAAATGTCGCGGCGAGGCTGGCGCGGGCCGGAGGCAGGGCACTGCTCCCTCTGCAGAGACACTGCCGAAATAATGACAGGATAAATCAAATCCCTCTTCCTTGGGCGGGATGCAGGGCTTTTTTTGGGCACAGGGCATCTGTAGCTGTGGCTGTGCACAGCTCCCTGCAGGTGGGACCAGCTCATGGGGTGCCTGATGTGGGTGCACCTATGGCAAACCAGTTGTGGGGCTCCTCARAAGTCCCACAGCAGGATCAGCCCAAATGGCTTATTTAGCCTATTCCCCTGCCAGCCCTCTCCCCACTTGTAAGGTTCTAAATGCCAAAGTGGGTGGATTTGGGGGGAATCTCATTCTCTCCCCGGGCCAGACCAGAGCTTTGTGTTTAGTCACTGATCTCTGGAAGTTTCTGTTGGGATATTTTCCTGTCCAGTGACTTCTAATTGAAGTGGGTAATTGCATTATCCCATCACCCCTGGAGAGGTTCACAGAGTCCTCAGCAATCATCTTCAGTTGTATACTGAGCCCAAAAATACCCAACTCGAAATCCATTTCACTTTCCAGAGCTCAGCAATGGCCACAAGCCAGCAGGGCAAACGTGGCCAGACTGCGGATCCCTGGGGGCTGGCAGTGCTGTGGGGTGGTGGTCCCTCTCTGGGGAGGTACCACCCTTTTGAGGGGCAGGACAAGTGCCTTTGAAGCACAAGCTACCATTCCTGAACTGGGCAAAGCATTGTCCACATCCAGGTGCTGGATTGCTGCCTCAGTGTGCTCCTTCAAATGCTGGGCACAGGAACACTGCAGGGCAAAAGGACCCCTTGTGCTGTCCTAGCACGGATGCACGGGTTGATGTGGGCAAGTGGGATAAGGAAAACCTGTCCCTGCCCCTGTTGCCTGTTCCTACCAGAGCCTCCTCAGCCCTCCCTGGGGCTGTCCTGGCACAGGAAGGCTAACTTGGGTGTTTTCCTCCATCTCCCACAGTATGAATTTAAAGCCAAGAATATCAAGAAGAAGAAAGTGAACCTCATTGTATCAGTGGATGGCGTGAAGGTCATTCTGAAGAAGAAGAAGAAGGTAGGCAGCACTGGCCCCTGTGGCAGCAGTGCCTCAGCAGCAGAACTCCTCCCCTCCTGGTGCAGGGATCTGCAGCATCTCTGAATTCCTGGGAAACTCTGGTGGTCTGGKAGAGGAAGGGATGGGCTGGGGTCAGCCAGCTATGAGTGATGTTCCACAGGGTGGCTGTGGGAGGTGATGTGGGATGTGGCTGGTCCCCAGCAGGACCCAACCCTTGGCAAAGAGTTGCAGGGAGCAGCAGCAGTGCTGTGACAAGACCTTCCCAAGTCTGTCCCTGGACTGACTCTCTGCCCTGTCCTTGTTCCCAAGGACAGCATCTGACGTACTCATTTGCAGTTTCTTTCATTGCAGAAAAAAGAATGGGCCTGGGATGAGAACAAAATGCTCGTCATGCACGATCCCATCTACAGGTRAGGCTGCTGGGTGGGGGGAAGGAGGCTTGTGTGACTCTACCCACCACTTACCCACACCACACCAGCCCCGTGCTGGGGACTGACCATAGAGAGCCGCCACCATCCTGTGGAGGACAGCTCATGGTGCTTTCCAAAGTCCCCAGCTCTCTCCCACCATCTTGTTCCCAAAAGCCAAGAGCATGGGGTGTCTGTCCTGGGGAGGTCAAATCAGAGTGAGAGAGGCCCCCAGCCATGCTGGGGACAGGGTGGCAGGCACCTGGGTCAAGCAGCCAGCTCTCTGGRGGCAGGTCAGGAGTGGGGTTTGCTGTTCTCCATCCCTGGAGGGCTCCTGGGCTGCTGACTCTGTCCCTGGGGGTGAACGCAGAGGTCCCGTGCTGCCTGTGCAAAATGCTTGCCGCTGCTGAATCAGCAAGCTAATTTTCCCATCTGAGGTAAAACCACTGCCAAAAAAAAATCTGATGGGTTTTAGCAGGGCTGTGCTGCAGAGGCTGGGCACCTGCCAGCACCCCGTGCCATGGAAGCTGTGGCCTTGGCAGTCTCCTGGGCACGTGGGTAACGTGTGTGCCTATAGCCCCCCTCCCATTCTGCCCTTGCAGGATATTTTACGTATCTCATGACTCCCAGGACCTAAAGATCTTCAGCTACATTGCCAGGGATGGGTCTAGCAATATCTTCAGATGCAACGTCTTCAAATCCAAGAARAAGGTAAAGATGCYGRGATGYKCATCTCATYCTGGTGTGCTCTCATGGYGCTGCACTGGAGMTGGCAGCCTGGAGCACCCTGGAGATCTGAGACCCTGTGGCAYCACAGGGACCCCTGGGAGCTGTGCCAGGCTGGGGGTGACTGTGCAGAGGCAGCCCAGCTGAGGCTCCATCCCTCCTCTCCCCTCCTTGCCTGCCACAGAGCCAAGCCATGCGCATTGTCCGGACCGTGGGGCAGGCGTTCGAGGTGTGCCACAAGCTGAGCCTGCAGCACACCCAGCAGAACGCCGACGGGCAGGAGGACGGGGACAGCGAGAGGAACGGAGACRACCTGGATGTCCCAGGTATCCCACATGTTGGGGGGAGGTGTGGGGGTGGTGTGGGGCTCCCGGAGCCTGGCAGATGCGGTTTTCAGAGGCACTGTGTTCCTGTCCCGCTCCTTGCTGGCTGGCACCTCTGCACGATGGATTTGCACAGCAATCTGGCCTGCTGTGCCTCRGGCTCACGCCCAGCAAGGAACCTTCTCTAGGTGTTAGCCACGATCCTYTCAGACATCCCCCTTGCTGGGAGCCCATTAGCAGTGCCCGGGACTCTGCTCTCCGTGCTTGGCTGCACACACTGCAAGCATTCCCTCGCAGCTTCCGCACCAGAGGCCCCAAGCACAGACCTTCCTCCTGTCCCGGGGCACGCCTGGGTCTGGGGCCAGCTCTCTGCAATTCCCCGAATGGGCACAGCCGTGTCTGTGGTCTCCCATCAAGCTGCAGGGCTGCAGACGCTCTTTCTCAGCCCCGTTGGGTAGAGGGTGCAGCGACACCTGGCTTTGGGGGTGCTGGTTCGGCCCCATCAGCCTCAGCTCTGCAGGGCCCCCAGGAGCAGCTCTGCTCCTGAGTGCCAGTGCCTGTGCTGGAGGGAAGGCAAATGATTCAGAAGATGTTGGTCAAACCTTTCCTATGCCAGCTGAGACACTGGCAGGTCCTGTTGCCTGTCTCTGTGTGGATTGCCTGCCGTGCCGTGCTGTGGGCTGGATCCTCCCCCCATCCCAACAGGAGCAGCCTGGGCTGGGCTGCAGTTTCCTGCTTGCCTCTGTGACCAGTGCTGTCGTGATGATCTAATCATSGGGCTGCCCGGGACTGGTCATTGTTTGGTTTTCCTCCGCACAATGTCCCGGCCACGATATGCAGCTCCCTGGGGAATTYAGAGCATCTGTTTTTTGTTTTTCTTTCCAGTAATCTCTTGTTTACCTTTCTTTAGCTTTATCTGTGTTTTCTGTTCTTGGTAGCCCGTTTGTCCCACATCAGGGCTTTGGCTGCCGTTCCCAGGTTCGATGTGCTGGGGCTGGGTGTGTTTTGCCTCCTCCCGAGCAGCAGCAGGAAGAGCAGCCGTGTCCCTCTGTCCCTGCTTCCCCCAGGGCCGGAGGGTGGGTGGCAGGGGAGCGGTGGGGGCTGCTGTGGGCATCGCTGCCCGCAYCGTGGGTGAGCCGTAGTGAGCTCCAGGTGCGGGTGTGCCCTGCCCTGACCCTGCTCCCGCAGCCTGTCGCCTCTCCGGCGTGGAGAGAGCGGCCGCCTCGGCCGAGGAGACCGACATCGATGCCGTGGAGCTGCCGCTGCCCGGAGCCAACATCCTGGACTTCAGCCGCGGAGTGACCGACCTCGATGCCGTGGGCAAGGAGGTGGGTGGCCACACCGAGCCTGGGGTCCCTGCCCTGCCCTCTCAGGGGTGGCATGACCCCAGCCCCRTGACTCCTGTGTGCCTCCCCAGGGCCCCGGGGTCGGGAGGGATTGTGCAGCATTCCCCAGCTCCCGGATCAAAGCCATCTGCCGCTGCAGGGCTGCCCTTTGGCTCGGGGCCCAGGGCGCTCCTGGAGAGCGCTGTGCCGAGGCTCGGCTATGTGCAGCCACACGGAAAGCTTTTGGGGCAGAGCTGATATGGTTTTTTTTTCCATTAAAAAAAAACAAAAATAAAAGATTTTTTTTGATACGGTGGAAATTCCCAGGGGAAACATCAGCCTTTTCGGGATTTTTCTACAAAAGTATTTAGGTTGTTAAAACTGAAGAAGCACTGTTAGCAAAGTTTGTCAGCACCCTCAGCGAAGTGTGCATTAGCTTTGAGTGCAACTACTTCTTTTCTGGTTATTCTGGGGGGCTGCTCTGTGCTGAAGCTTGTGTGTGCCCAGTGGCWCTTTGAGGTGGGTGCCATGGGATCACACTTCCAACATTGGTGTTTTGCAGAGCTGCCTCCACCCTGACGATATTCTGACAGCGTCACCCAAGATGCTGCTGCCCTCCTCAGCCCAGCTGCCYGACCTGGGAACACCCCTCTCTGCCCACCACCAGATGCAGCTTCTCCAGCAGCTCCTGCAGCAGCAGCAGCAGCAGACACAAGTGGCCGTGGCACAGGTTGTCCCCTCTGTTCTTTCCCAGGGCCGTGGCAGGGTTGGGGCACACTATTGAGCCTTTCTAGAAGCAGCATTGAAGGCAKGCAGCTCCGTGAGGTGCTCAGGTCTGCTTGCCACTGGGTGTTGTGGGCCTTTGTCCCGTGTCTGCTCGCCAGTGCCCTTCCCCAGTGACAGTGCCTGTGCAGTTGGCAGCTCACTSTCCATGCAGTTATTTCTCATTTAAGTGGCTCTGGCTGCTTTACCCAACTCATTACCTGAGCTTTACTTGTTCCCTGACCCCTCACAGGGTTCTCTGCAATTCATCAACTTTCTTCCTGGCCTGAGCGATAGGCTCCAGCAGCCTTTCTGTGTTGCCCCATGGCTTTCCTCTTCTCGCATCAGTAAATCAGTATTTGTGCTTCTGACGGAGCTGCTGCCTCCCCACGTGCCTTTCGGGGTCACAGGCTGCCAAGTTGCTTTTCCCTCTGGAAGAGGGACTTGCATCCTCGGGAAATCCTTTATGTCTACCCGAGTATAACGTTGCTGACAATCCAAAAGGCTCCATGGTGCCTTGCCCTTGGTATGGYTTTGTGGAAATTTGTAAATCCCAGTCCTTGGCCTCCTGTCACTYGCAAGCTCGCTGTGCTTCAGCTCAGCTCTGCCAAGGGCACTGCTGTGCCACCTTGCTGGCTCGTTTGGGCAGCACCTGCCCAYCAGCACACCAGGCACTGCCTCCTGGTGCCTATCTGTGGGGGCAGGTGGCCCCCAGCTGGGCAGCTCTGGGGGCCCTGTGGCTGCAGGGGCAGCTCACGCTTGGCAGATGCTGAGAGCTTCCTCTTCTTCCTCAAGGTGACTTTCTAGGCCAAGGTGAAATAGCCTTTTGTGTTTGGTGGGGATATTTTTGTTTTCCAGTTATTTTGTTTTGTTTTTTAGTTGTAAATCTGTGCTCTCCTGGTTCCAGTCCTTGCTGGAGAGAGGGGCAGTTGTAGGAGCCATGGGYGGCTGAGCCAGTGTCAGTGCTGTCCCCTTGTCCAATGTACGTTTCTGGGGCGCTCTTTGCTCGAGCGCAGATCAAAGAGCTGCCCTGGGCAGGAGCTCTTGGCTGTGTGGCCTCAGGGACACGATGCTGGTGACACACATGTTTGAATATAGGCAGTTGTGCAGGAATCAGTGGTGGTCCTGCCCCTGGGCTCCCTGCAGGCATTGCTTYCCAGAGCCAGGGTGAGCCCCCACGCCTCTGCAGCACCCTGCCATCTGTGGTGCTCCAGCCCCTCCTTGTGACAGAGGCTGCTGGCTGGGCCCTGTTTCTGGGAAACCTGCCCAAAAGGACAGCTTTTCCAGGGCCAGCTGCACTGCACGGCTGCGCCCTCGTGCACCCACACCATCAAGCGTGTCTCCCCCACTGCATCCATCTGYCTTCCTCCTGGGCTGCCCTTTCCATTCACATCCACAGTTCGTGTGCACGACTGACAGCTCGCTCAGTGCTGCCTGCCTTGGCCTCGAGCTTTTCCATCAGGGAGGCCAGGGGACGGTGTGCTGAGCCCTGCTGTGACACTGCCCACACACTCCCCATCACATCTGCAGCACCTGCAGGGAACAGCTGCTACATCACAGCACTGGGTGGGACGCTGGTGAGCCCAGGTAGATGAGCAGGGGTGGCTGGAGTCAAAGCCCTCAACCCTCGAGCAGCATTKCCCCGTGCTCACCCGCTCTCTCCTGTCCCAGGTCCACCTGCTGAAGGACCAGCTGGCAGCAGAAGCGGCAGCACGGCTGGAGGCCCAGGCTCGTGTGCACCAGCTCCTGCTCCAGAACAAGGACTTGCTGCAGCACATCTCCCTGCTGGTCAAACAGGTGCAGGAGCTGGAGCTGAAGCTGGCGGGGAACACGACCAGTAAGCGCCGCCGCCCCTTCCTCTCCCCTCGCATCTAGCCAGGGCTCTGGGGGACGTGCATGTGGGTGTTTTCCTTGGGTTTTTTTTGTGCATTTCCAGTCAGTTTGTTCAGAGGGATATCTGTGCCCTTCTGGCCTGGCTTGTGTGTGTGCAGCAGGGTGCTTGCATGCAGCATGGGGGGCTCTGGGATGGCTGTATGGACAGGTAGCCACCTACCTCCATCAGCTGTATGTCCGCTTTYCCCAGTGGCTGCATGCTCCAGGCCAGCTCCCTACCTGCCCAAGAGCCCCTACTTGACCTTCCTCCCTAGCAGAAGTGGCTATCAGCTCCCTGCAGGAGCTGGGCTGGAAGACAGTTAACTTTTTGTCCTGCAGAACTGGTCCTTAGTTGGCCAGCAGTAGCCCCCGACATCAGTGACACCAAATAAGCCCCTCAAAACAGTGAGAGTGGAGAGAYTGACGCCCAAATGACCCCAGGCTGTCCTCCTCCGGCCAGCGTGCAGCCAGCCATGGTGGCCAGGGGATGCCCAGGCAGGCTGGGCCTCTTAGCCRTGCCCTTCTCTTGCAGCAGGCTCCCAGGACAGTCTGCTGGAGATCACCTTCCGCTCCAACGTCCTCCCCGTCCTCTGCGACCCGACCACCCCGCAGCCCGAGGACACCCACCCGCCGCCGCTGGGCCCCAGCTCGGCTTTCCCCAGCACCATGGGCAGCCCCATAGGTAGGAACGACTGTCTGGTGAAGCTGGAGTGCTACCGCTTTCTGCCGGACTCGGGGCCGCCCGCCCCGGAGCCAGCACTGGGCAGCCTGGAGCTCATCAAGTTCCGCGAGTCGGGCATCGCCTCCGAGTACGAGTCCAACACGGACGAGAGCGAGGAGCGCGACTCCTGGTCCCAGGAGGAACCGCCRCGCCTGCTCCACGTCCAGCCCAGGCAGGACCTGGGCGACAGCCTGGAGGATGAGATCGCGGTGTAGGGGTCAGCAGGAGGTGGTGCAGAGCAGCCAGGACCTGCTGGAGCTGGCSAGGACCCTGGCCGCAGCCCCGTGGCCCTGGCGGGGATGGGACAGCCCGGAGGGAGGGGGCAGAGGAGGGAGCACGAGGATTCCAGCAGCCAGTTGGGAGTGTGTGGAGGTGAGGATGGAGCCGTGCCGAGGGTGTGTGCCAGGTGTGCTGTGCCCCAGCGTGCACGGGCTTGTGTGCTGAGCTGGAGCGTCCCTGCTTTGCAGCAGACACTGAGCTGGCAGCTCCTGGTGCTCCCCCCTGGCCTCTGTCTCCCTGCAAACTGTGTGTCAAGGTCAGGCAGAAGGAAGGGATTTCCTGCTGGATTAGTCCCTACAGCTGCTGGGGAAGCAGTAGAGTGGAGGAAGGGTTTTACTGGGGGCATGAGAGAGCAGGTTTAGGGCAGTGAGCAGSGATAAGAGTGACCAAGGGTGAAGTGCTGGAGTGGTGAGCAGGAGCAGAGCAGCTGGTCTGGCTCTCTGCATGCTTGCAGGGTGGGGGATGAGTGCAGGGCCATGCTAGGTGAGGGTTGGTGGTAGCGCATTGTCGTGGTGGATCTGTGCGTGAGCAGTGAGTCATTGAGGGACAGTGGGAATGAGCCTGGAAAGGAGTTGAATGGGTGAGATGAGGTTGCACAGGCTGGYCAGGTGCAGGCAGTTGCTGGCAGGGTGATGTGGCACTTCCAGGACAGGGTTTGTCCCTGCCAAGGCAGGTGGAGGGCATGCAGGCAGAGCCAGCTCTCTGCCAGGCTGTGGAGCAGAGAGGAAGGTGCAGCTCGGTGTGGAGCAGAGAGCCAGGGCATGTAGCACTGAGCTGTGAAGTGTCCTTCCCCTCACCATCTCATCCTTCAGCTCCTKGGCACAGCTGCCAGGTTTCAAAGCCTTTTTGGTGCTCTCAAGTCCCATTTTCTAGCACTTCCCATCACCACAAACTCCCYGCTTTGCTTTATAGACAAACCCTCCCATTTCCAAGCAGTTTTGCCCCAGAGCAAGGCTGGGAGCTGCAGTGCTGGCATTGGCATCTTCAGGGATGAACACRCTTGCAGCCCTCGATGGGGAGTGAACTGCTGGTGTCTGCAGGGGGGCTCCATCACATCTCTGGTTTGCACCCTCTGGAAAAGTGAATCCAAGATCTTGGAATCCCCCACCAGCCCTCTCAGCTTATGGGCTGAGAGCCATCTGTGGGGGCCTCCAAGGGATCCAGAGCTTGTTTCTTTTCTGCAAACACTTTCATCACCTGGTGCTGAGCCTCTAAGAGGCCATGACTGAAGGGGTACAACCAGAGTCCTGATGGCCACCTGGCTTCATGTGGAAGCACTCAATGAGGTGGGGATTTAGCACAGTTGTTCTCTTCCCCATCCTCCCTCCTATCCTGCTTCTGCTTTGCTTTGTCGCTTTCCTGCTGCTCTTGCCTTCGCCAGCTCTCTCTCCGCTCGATCTGCCTGCAACTAACCCCTGGCTGACACCAGCTCTTGCTCTTCTCCCGGGCTTAGCCTGGCTGCTGGGGAAGGTCTATCACTGCTCTCTGCCCTGGTGCCCTCAGGACTGCGGGCTGCTGAGGAGTGATGTGTGGATGAGACCACCAGGATCAGTCTGAGCTGTGCTATGCACCCTCCACCACAAGACAGGACTGGATGGAATTGAGGAGCTAGAGGGTCTAGTGGGAAGGAAAGAAGGACATGTCTCAGTGTCCCCAGCAGTGCCGCGGTGTCCAGGGGAGCTCCTGCACCAGCCTGGTGTCCAGGGGAGCTCCTGCACCAGCCACAGAGCAGGCAGAGTGGGAGAGGGTGCTGTTTGGCTCTGGAGATGGTGCTCCTGGGCTCTGGCCACCACTACCTCCATATGCCCTGTCCCAAAGCTGTGTGCCAGACCCCCTGACACCCCACAGCCAGCAGGGACATGACATCCCACCATTGCAGCAGCTGAAGRTGAAAGCAAGGGGTGGGAGGCTGGTCCAGCCAGGAGGAAGAAGCGGGCATGRCAGCACGCACGAGGCATGGCACGCACACGGTAGGGATGGTTGAGCTTGGGCAGGGGTTTCCATGTGGGCAGATGGGTCATTCAGGGGAGAGGACAGCAGGAGCTCAGCTGTACTCACAGGCAGATGAAGAGAGCCTGGGAGGARCAAGAGCAGGCTAGAGGTCTCTGCCAGGCTGGGCTGCCACAGGGAGCAGGTGGGGTGAGCCATCTCCTGCGCCACCACTCCAGTCTGTCCCTGCTGCACACACAGAGCTCAGGCCATGTCCCAGCTGTGGTCTTGGGCTCCTGCCCCCACTCTGCCCTCAGGGGACAGTGGCAGGTGTCCCACAGGCCGATGGGGTGTTGCCGGGGCTGGGTGGGATCCTGCCAGCATCATGCTGCACCGTGGGTGTACACATGTAAATGACCCCTCCTAAGTCAGTGCTGCCTCCAAGACTCCTCTCTAGCCTCTCACTTTTGTTATGGACCTTGACAGGGGTTTTATAGCTATATTTTTTGTCCTTTCTTTTCCTACAACTGTCGTATTACTAACTGTTGACTCTATCTGGGAAGCCAATCTGTCAATGTAAGTGCACTTAACCCTTGGGTGTTGTCATTAGTCAACTGGCTTTTGCTAAATAAATCTTTCTATTTCTCAAGGCTTTCTGTTGTCTCTTTCTTCTCACTGACTCTCTCTCTTTCTGTACTTCCTTCSCTCTCCACGCTGGGTGCCAGCACCAGCAGTGGCATCCTCTGGCCTTGCACAGACCCCCTTCAATCTAAACCTCCTCCTCTGTGGGACCCCTGCCTGTGGTGCAAGCCACAGGCTGCACACGAGAGCAGAATATTTCTGGGAGCAGAATRTAGAGGGGTTTCAGTCTTCCCCTTCAGCCACTGCACAGCACGGGCTTGTTTCGGGGCTGACCCAACAGTTTGAGGGTGCCAGGGGGTTCCTGGCACCATCAGAGGTGCCACGGAGATGCAGAGATGCTAATCGGCACTTCCAGGGGCTTTRGAGATTTTTGTCTGCTGGGGAGGTAAAAGGCCTCTCTTAAAGAATGGCTGCAGTGTTGTGTAGGCAGGAGCAGCACAGAGGCAGGGCTGGCTGCTCCTAAACCAATCCGTTCTGCTGCTGGCAGGAGCGATGGAGCAGTGCCCTCCCGCGGCAGCCACTTGGCTGCTGGGGCTGCACGGACAACCTGGGAGCTGCACGGACACCCTGGGAGCTGCACGGACACCCTGGGGGCTGCACGGACACCCTGGGGGCTGCACGGACACTCTGGGGGCTGCACGGACACTCTGGGGGCTGCACAGACACCCTGGGGGCTGCACAGACACCCTGGGGGCTGCAGCCTCCTGTGCCTTCAGCTCCTGCTCCCCCAGGAGCTCGGGCCTGCCGTGGAACCCCTTGCAGTTCTAGCCCTCCTGGGAGCCGTGCTGGATCAGCCACAGCATGGGGGAGATGTGGCAGCACGATGTGCACTGGTAGCCACACTGGATCACATCACTGGGAAGCAGTGAGTTTGTCCTGGACTGTGGTCCTGGCTCTGCTGCTGGCCAGCCTGTCCCTCTCAGGGGCTGGGAGTCATCTGAGAAGACAGAAGAGAGCTTTCCWATAGATTGTCAGGCTGCTCACCCTGCTGGGGGTTGGTGTCCAAGCTGGAGGACAGGCTGCCCAGGCACTGCTGTGTGTCTCTCTCGGTGAGGATGAAGTGGCTGTAGGATGAACCCTAGGGCTGGTAGGTGCTGTAGGTGCAGGCAGAGAAGTCGCTGTTCAGCAGGACTGTGGGACCACAGACTGCAGAGRAAAGGGCCTGCAGTGACTTGGGGGTCTCTGTAAGAGTCCAGCCCAGCAAAAGGTTGGAAGCAGTGCTGGGAACCCTTCCTCTCGCTGTCCCATGGAATGTGGAGGTGGTTGTCTCTGTCCCAGGATGTGCCCCTGGGATGCAGAGGTAGAGGTGGATGCAGAATGGTGGTAGAACCCTCACCCAGGAACTGGCCAGAGCCATGACACAGAGACCCACACTGACGTGGAGGCAGTCACAGAGTGGTTGAGCTGGCACTCCTGGGGACAGCCCTTACAACTTCAAGGACTTGTGCTGAGAAGACATGGTGGGGTGTGACTGCAGAGCCCTGCTCCCAGAAAGCACCCACTGCCATCCATCACAGACCCAGCCTGGGTGGGRCTGAGGGAGCCACGGTGGAGCAGGCAGTGCAGAACCCAGGCTGTGGGTGCCCCCTCGGAAGGCCCTGTGGCTTTTCAAGGATGTGGCTGACAAGGGACCTCTGTGTGAGTCCCATCTCTTCAGGGTCTGAGCAGGGGGTTGGCAGCCCACCTCACCTGGCAGTGTGGAAGGGACAGGCCTCTTCCCTTGTCCTTCTGGTAAATGCTCGCTTTCTCTCTTTTTCCACAACCTGCTTCCCAAGCCGCTTGGTATCAGGTAAGAGAAACTCTTGGTGTGTTGGCAGTGCCAACGTGGAGCCCTGGGCTCAGTGCTGCCCTGTCTTGYCCCGTGCTGGTCCCCCATGCATGCACTGCCCTGTGCAGCCCTGGCATGGCCTGGCTGCCCACAGCCTCCGTGGGGCTGTAGGAACATCCTCCCGCTCTCTGAGGTCATGTTTCCACCTTGCTGGTGGGCTGGCCCTGCTGGGATCACCCTTCCAGCTGGGCTCAYGTCCTCTCTGTTCCCTTTCCCCCTCCAGTGGACCAGAGCATGTTTGAAAAYGCCAGTGCCAGCGCAGCACCCACGCCACGGGCACAGCACATCTCTGCCGCGGCGGGCACTCTGCCCCAGCCCTCCCGGCCCGCTGGCAGCCAGCACCTCCGCAACCTGGGCAAGGCCATGGGTGCCAAGGTGAACGACCTCCTGCGCCGCAAAGAGCCGGCCRCTCTGCCCGGGGTGGGAGCCATGGAGGTGAACGCCAGCGCGGGCGCCGTGCTGGCCATGGGACAGCCGGCTGCAGAGGATGGGTGAGTGTCCCTGCAGCGTGCACCTCGTGCCGGGGCCATTGGGACGGGCTGGAGGGGCCCAGAGTGGGGCTCTGTGCAACTTTCCCYCTGTGCTTGCAGGGCTGTGGGGCTGGATGCCTTTCCCCGGCTGGAACCTCCGCCCCCCATCACCAAGAAGCGGACRCCACGCGCCCTGAAGACCCCCCAGGATATGCTCATTGCTCCRCAGCCAGAGGGGGCCAGCACGAGGAGCAGCACAGAAGAGCCTCCTGAGCCACCCACAGCCCACCCTGACCCCGCAGAGGAGCAGCTGGGGATGGGGGACCCGTCTCCTCCAGAGTGCCCTGGGGTCCCCAGCGTGACAGGCACCCTAGAGCACAGTGGGGACCAGCCTRCCAGTGCCTTACCCGTGCCTGACCTCATCCACAAGGGCAGCCGGGAGAGCCAGTGGCAAGTGGGTGAGAGGGCCACTGAGATGTCACCCAGCACGGAGAAGGCCTCCCGGAGACCAGGGCTGGAGCACGAGCCACCGGGGAGCACAGGGCGGCCTGAGCCACGTACCCCTGCCTGGGAGGTGGAGGGGACCCATCCCGACYTACTGTCCTTTGAGTAGCAGTGGGCAGCTGTGACAGGGGCACTGTGGGGGCTGGCTCTCCCAAACATGTCTCTGGCTGCCACTTGCCTTTTTTTGGGTGATTATTTTGGAGAGGGGGAAGCTCCAGGGCGGAAGGAGCCATTGCTGCCCAGTGTGGGGGACTGTGACAACCTGCTTCTCCCCAAATTCCCACGAGGCACACAGCCTGTGCTGCCATGGCTTCTGCAGCCCCATCCTGGGCCTGTTTCCCCTGGTCAATGCCAAGCTCCTGTCCTGTCAYGGTGCCATTACCACCTTGCCTGCAGCCAGGGGCCTTGCTGGGCTGGGGACCAAGGGGGTGTGTGGGGGCAGAAGTGCCAGCCTGCCCCTAACCCCATCAGCTCTGCTGGAGTRAGCGTCCCACAAGCACCACACACTGTTCCCTATATCTGCACTGGCTGCCTTGGTCCAGAGGATTTCTCAGCTTGCCAAGATGGCCCATCCTGGGGCACTGGCAGGCTAACCCAGCCCTAGTGCCTGGTGCCAGGGAGGTGCCAGGGAGCTGGGACAGCAGCTGTGCCCAGGGCCTTCTCCAGGTGCTGACTTCACAGTGTCATTCTGCCCAGCGCCATCCCTTTGCAGCAGAGCCCCAGGTGCAGGAGGCCTGGGCTCTGGCAGGGAGCAGGACTGGACACCTGGGGCAGCACARCTGCTGGTCAGTGGGCTCTGGCAGGAAGCTGAGCCCTTCCAGCTCCCATGTTTCCTGGTCTCATCCCAGCCACCACAGACAGGATCAAACTGTCCAGACAGGCAGCCCTCTCCATGTTACTGCTCCCCTTTATTGCCTGGGACAGTGGTCTCTCTGTGAGACTGGGACACACAAAGCCACATGGTCCTGATACTGCTGTATGAGTGTTTCCCCATGGATTACAGGAGGGGTTAGCCAGCCTGTGACACCYGTGTCAATGCAAGGAGGCAGCTGTGAGACAGAACTTTTTGCTTAAAGCTTTTCTGTACATCCTCACCACAAAGGTGGTTTTGAGAGRAAAATCTCCAAAGCCCCGATTTGGGTTGGAGGAACCCAGGAGCTCATGGATGGGCCTTCTCACAGCTCCTTCTGGGCCATGCAGGGTGGTTGGGCTGAAGAAATGTCTTCCAGCACCCAGAGCCATGTTGTCCCACTGAAGGAAGGAAGCTGTGAGCATGGCTCCCTTGGTCCTGGGACGAGCCTTCCATCTCCTAGCCCTTGGTGTGGGGATTCCATGGTGGTGCTGGGGCCCTGCAGCTCTCAGCTCTGGCAAGGCCCTGCTCGAGGGTGAGGAGATGCAGAGTTGCACAGAGSCCATGGTCGGTGCTGGGGTGTAGCACACCCTGTGATCACACTGTGCATGGCCAACTCCAGCCCCAGACAGTGTGGGGTGTGTGTCTGCTGCTCAGACCTGCGCTGCACTGCTGTTGATGGAACCCAGGGCTTGTAGCCCCTCTCTGAAGAGCCAGCATCTCCCATCACTATGATCCCAAGGGAGCCTTCCCTTTTAGGTAGAGTCGTCGCTCACGGCCGGTCCACTCCCTCTATTTATGTTGTCAGGGTGTGTGTGTGGTTTGGGACAGGAGATGCAGATTGCACAATAAATGTTTTTTTTTCTTTTTTACCCACTGATGTGTGGCAGTCCCTTGACGGGAGGGGACACCCTGCACCACTCTGACACCATCTTGGTGGGGCGGAGGGGGAGTTTGGTGGTGTCCGGGTTGGGGTGAGGGACGTGGCTGCCTTGCTGTGCTTGAGCCACGGTTGGTGTCTGGGCCGAGGGGATGCGACCCCTGCGAGTGTTGAGCGATCTGGAGCCTGCCTGTACCGGGACAGAGGGGTCCGGATCCCGGGGGTACTGCGGGAATGGGAGCCCCGGGGGTGGCAGGGCTGAGGGGACGGGACCCCGAGGCGATTGAAGGTACTGGAGCTCGCCTGTACCCGGGCGGTGCTGGGGGGATGCAGTGCCCCGGAGCGCTGAGAGTGCTGGAGCCCGCCTGTCCCGGGGCAGAGGGGAGCAGACCCCAGCGATACCGAGAAGCCCCGCTCGCCCCGGGCTGAGGGGCCCGGCGACACCGAGGAGCCCCGCTCGCCCCGGGCTGAGGGGCCCGGCGATCCCGAGGAGCCCCGCTCGCCCGGGCTGAGGGGCCCGATCCCGCCCCTCCCCGCCTCTCCCCGCCCCTCCCCGCGGGCGGAGCCGCCGGCGGTGCCGCCCCGTTTCCGGTGTCATGGCGGCCGGGGCTCGGCGGCGGCCGGTGCCGGTGCCGGGGCGCAGCGCGGGGCAGCGGCGGGGCAGCGGCGGTTCGGCGATGTGAGGGCGGGACGGCGCCATGTCGGGGTGCGCGTGGGGCGCGGCGCCGCCGCTGCTGGAGGCGCTGGGCCGGCTGTGGGAGGTGCAGGCGCCGCTGGGCAGCGGCTCCTCGGCCTCGGTGTACCG